CATCTCTGGCTAACAGCGACGACTGATAGAAAGATAAATTGTTCCAAAATTTACCGAATCAAAATGGAGCTAAGGTGTTTCACTTTCCTCGAATGCTTTCATCCATCTATCCACCATCGTTCCACGCTTTACATCCATTTTTATTATTCCCCCTCCTCGATATCGTGGTATCCTCGATTTACCCTCGTCCTATCCAAAGCTGCAACTCACACCAGAATACTTTGCAGCATGTAATAAAGATCCATCTATTTCTGTCATTTCTCGTTCCTTTCCACCTTTCGTATCTCATTTTCATCCGCGCGGCTCAATCATTTCTCACCCGGCCCGCACGCCAGACCCTCGTTTTCTTCCCCCGTCCACTTCAACAACCCTGCCGCTTCCACTTCGGATCCTTCAACGTTTGAATAACGATCGAGCCCAAGTCCGAGATGGACAGGTTCGCCGGATGACTACCAGCGAATTCGATGCGATGCCTCGTCCCGTGGGTTCATTAACCGCGTTACGCCGTTTGTTTCGAGCCGTGTCCGGTTAATTAGTCATCAACCTTGAGGACGTTGTTTCCTTGTTTTACACGGGCGCACCTACGGCTGCATCGATCCTCCTCGATCATTCACATTCCAGTCGTTCCTGGTTTTATCGATGCGTAAAGGAACGCGATGAAACGGTTATTGTTGTCGAAATGGAGGATCGTTTCGCGTCGCGTCTGTGCAAATACGACTGATAATATATCCGCGCGAAAGATAATACAAATTCTGTTTGAATGTATTCACACGTGGATCATCCGTCAAAGGGTCGAAGCGCGCCGTTCGCAGAGGGTGCAAAATTGCGGCTGGAAAAGCGAAATTTCAACCACAAAGCTCGTTTATACAGGACGAAAAGATATCGTATTGGCTCGGTTGGCAGAAAATCAACGAGGCTCAATTTTCCCCTCCCCCGGAGAAACCAATCCACTCAGGCGTTGTCAAAAATTCATCGGAGTCATCGATCTTTCCCTGGTCTTGGAGGATCGATTCGATCCTACTCAGCCACCGTTTCAACGAGCTTCTCTCCAGGCTGCTTTAATTAATTTACCCTTTGCGTCGTCGACCGGCGAACGTAAACGACATTCGCGTGACTATTTCAATTTACATCGGTCAGCCCGTAATTATTTCATTGAAACGGCGCACCGTTCGCGCGAAAATCCAGCAGCGTTCGGGATCCAAAGTGAATTACAACCCCAACGGACAACCGGCTTCCGCAGGCTCGGATTAGAACCGAATTCTGTGTAGTTGATTTATCATTTCACGCTGTCCGGTTTAAGGAACTGGATACGGTAAGACGCGTTGAGAATAGTTCTATTTTCCTCGGTTTATCTTGGAAGATTTTGAAATTTGACCGCGTTGTAAAATTTTCAAGAGACTTACCAATTTATTTCATCGCTCGCTGGCGATAGGAAACCAGTCTGGCGCGCATCGATCCTCCACTTGAATTCTATCTCAACTTCCTCGAAGAAAGATTGAAATCGAATCGATCCAAATGTTCCGTCTCTCTTTGAAGGTAAACGTTCAGATGTAGTAAGTAATTGACTTTTAACAATTGATTCTGAACGTTAAGCAAGAGAATTCTCTTTCGTGCTGCACTCTCGGAGGAGAGATGGTAGCTGGATCGGAAAATTATCTTCTATCGAATCTTCGATGCATCCTAGCGATGAAATGAAATATCATATTTTTCCTTTTTTATTAGAAACACGAAATACCAAGGGGTGGTTAGGAAAATTGGGGAAGCACCCATGGATTTTTATAAAATTGTAGATTTTTGCGACGCACCAATGATTTTCTAATATCTCACGTACGAGTACATACGTGTATCTCGATGGTTTTCATCGATTTCGCGTGTCTGCTCTCGCGGTATTGGTCGAGGTAGCCGGTTTTCCACGGAATAAGAGTGTGGCAGGTGCTTTAGCCTGTCCTGGACGGTAAATTTCCGGGATTTTATCGGTGAAAATTTAGAGACACCATAAAACTGCACGTCGAACCAAGACGCATGTTTATGTGTATGGATATCCCTCGATATCCGCCGTGGCCGGATAAAATACACGGACGTCGCGTCGTCGTTGTTGTTAGACTGAAGATTTTACGTCCTCTAAGTGCGTCTATGAAAATCGTCCGACTTGTTTTACTCGTCGAAATTCCTGACATTTTTAGGTAATAAATCATTCAAGGTATTTTCGATCATTTCTGTTTGAAATCCTTCGACTTCCAAACAGGCTAATCCTAAATAATTCCTTAGGGGATTTCTGAAAGCGGCTTTCGCGATTCGGTCCTAAAGTCGGGACGTCTGAAAAATCCTTGTCTCCGTCTACTTGATCCGTGTAGTACGATCGAGATGCGAGTTTACAGGCTCGTAGACGCGTCGCAGACAGCGTCGAATTTATGTCGCGACGCTCGTCATCTCCTTCGAAAGCCCTGGGTCCCTTGATCCCGAACGTGGCTGGAAAGCCAGGCTCGAACCTGGTCAACCTCTTCGTCCACGATTTTTCCAATTTTCTCGACAAATCGACCCTTTAACTTGTCCATTTCCCACCGCCGGGATTGCTTTCCCCGGGCAACTTCGGCTCGATTCCGATCGGTAATCAAATAATTCATTTCCCGTTCGATGTTTATTCATTCCACCGATTCGTTTTCCGTGTCGCGAACGCTTTTCCGCCGGCGTTGATCCGTTGTAACAACTTGACCGTATTCGCGAACGCGTTTCAACGCGAGAATCGAATTGCAGCTTTGCCGCTGGATTAATTCGACGCTTGTACATTGTTACAAGATCCGGCTCAGCTCCGCCACCCGCTCGCAATCCTCTGCAGCACGCGTAAATTTATATAGGATGCAAAAATTATGGCGTTTCCTCTCGGAGAACCGTCTACTAGAACTCGTCCAATTGGGCTGACGTGGACGGGCCCTGTCCCAGACGCCTGGGTTCTACTATATTCTCAGATCTTATACACGATCCGTGATAGAGCTCTAGCGAGAAAGGATGGAATTACACGCGCGACACCTTGCGGCGATCGCAGGAAAGAGGCCCATGCGCCGGAGCGCCCTGCTCCGCTCATAACCCCATACCTCCCTCTCGGATTTCCTTTATTTTCCTCTGTCCCGTTTCCTCGGCCAAGCCGTCCGCGTAACTTGCTCGGTACACGTGTGTACTTTATTTAATAAATGCCCCGGCTAGGAGAAGAAGAAACGTTTCGTAACTCCGTGGCTGGGCGGAGATAAAATGGTACCTCGATGCTCCGTTTAATAAAGAAACTAATTATCCGACGAGAGAACAGCTTTCAAAGGAACGTTCAACGTTCCCTCGCGGCGAAAGGGATCAGCCGAAACGACTGGAGGGAGCATAATTTCGGATTAGAGAAAACGGGCAAAGCAAAGGTTGCGGACATATTTGTCGCGAACGAAATTGCAAACGATCCTTAAAGCGAAGCAGACGGGACGGATCATCCGGACGGTTTAATTCGAAACTGCAATTTCGGCTTTGGCCCGGGCGTTAAAGTGGGGGGTGGGGGACGGAGCCAACGATTTCATCGAATTCATGGAACACGTGCAGCAACGTGTACGCGAAGCGTTTACACGCGACAATGCGCGTACGAAACAAAATTGCACGCTCGTTTCGAACGGGACGCGTCCATCCGATGCTTGTAACCCGGCTAACAATTCTCGTGTACTCGCGAAATCGATACGCCGACGCTAAAATCGACTTTTATGCCCTGCCGAATGTCCCCGTGAACGTACAAACTGAGGCGTTTAACAATTTAACGAGTGGCAAAGCTGTTGGTTGACTTTTCCACTGTTCATCGAGTGGGAAACTCAATTTGGAAAAAATCGCCGTTAAAAAAAAGAATTTTCAAGGGATGCACCCTGAAGTGCTGTAATAATTTCTCGGCTCGATAATCTGATGGGTGAACTTTTACAATCTCGAACCTGGCAGAGGGTTGTTGGCGGTGGATAGTCGAAGCGCAACGCTACACGTGGACGCATTCCGTACACGTTTCTCGAGTTTATCCCGGAAAAGTGGGACTGACATATTGGGATCGTTCTGGCCGTCTAGTCGCATTTATGTACCCTCCGTGTCGGCGTGCCGCGCCAAAATGATCGCCCTCCTTTTTCTTCCCGGTTCTCCTTCTATTTGCTTTTCCGCCACCCACTCGGCCATCCTCCTCTTTCCCCTCCTCTTTGCCCTCGCTTTTTCATCCTTAACACGTATCCAGCCACGTGGGACGTGTGTACGTAAGAATGCTTTCCTTTCTTTCGTTGCTTCAACCTACATACATATGTATGGTTGTTTAATTTTTTAATCTTAATTAAAATGTTTCTTTCGATACTAATCAATATAACGTATTTTAATCAAGATTTATTTATCGGACGTTTAATTTGCACAAGATGAATGACAGAGAAGTTTGGCAAAGTTGAAGATCGGAGGGTGAAAAGAAGCGAGGAAAAAGTGGCTCTTTGAAAAAAAGAAGACCCGCCGCCTTAATTAGACAAGGGAACTTGGAACCGAGATTCGGCTAATGAGCTTCTCAATGAAACATTAGGCGACTTATAATTGGGTCATCAACTCGCTTTGGATAGGATCGATAGTTGCTCCTCGTCGGGTTTCTTCTTGACGTTATCTGTTGATTAATACTCTTACGGTTCGTTCGCAAATGGATTTCCCCTTGAATTTTGTATTAAATGGACGTTATTTTAATTATTAAATAACATTTGAAAATATGAAAACGTCAAACATAGCTATTTAATTTTCTCGCTCAGTTTCAATGTTTAATCAATCATATTTTCATTCGAAATAACAAATATGAAATTCGTCATTTTCACGTATCAGGTTGTTTTGCCGTTAACAGAATTGCGGTTCGTCGAAATCAATATCACACCCTCGATTTTCCAGCAACAATAGGCAAAATTTCCCAAACACCAAAGGCATTATTCCTGGTTCTAATTGAAATTCATAATTTCCTTCGTTTCCATTTTCAGGTGTCGAATGAAACAATGGAGGAGGGACTTACCACCAACTTCTGTGATAATCACGTTTCATAACGAAGCTCGATCAACGCTGCTGAGAACCGTCGTCAGGTATTTTCCACTCGACACTCGTTGAAATATTAAATTTCCATTTAATTCGTAACCTTCGCGTTTTGATCGATAGAATTTTCGTGATAAATTATGCGTTAGGGTTGCCAGTTTAATTGCCAAGTTGGATGAAAAATTTAATTGGAAAATTAGATTAATCGCGTTTTCTCGATCACTGAATTCCCACGCGTACTGCGATAACGCAACGTGGCATCGGGACGCAGCGAAAAGGCGAGAAAATTCTTGACACGGAAGAAGACCAGCGGAATTTTCTAATCGTCGTTCCATCGTTCCGTTTTCCCTCGCCCATTATAGGGCTTGATGGTGATAAATCACGCGTGAAATATAAAGGACATGTTGATAGAGGAAAGAATTTTCGGAACACGTTCAATATTCCCTGGTCATTTCATTTTTCAAATTAAATTTTCCACTCCTCGCCGTATAATTTTCTATATTTTCTTTTTCTTTTAATATTATATTATTCAGTTACCAAAGTCAGCTTAAACCTTTCCGACTTCTCCTAACATTTTCCTCCGTCTCAGTAGCACAGATCAAGCATTTCCCTCACGAACGTCTGGATCCTTAATTGAAAGATCTTCACACGAGCTAATGTCACCCGACTCGAACAAGATTATCCTCTTCGCGGAAAGAATTTTTCCTAGCGACGGTAAGCGAGTTACCGAGCCGAGAATAGGAGGATGCGTCTTGCAGAAACTTATTTAGGGAAAATTATTTAAAAAAGTATCGTTTCCCCATCGCTGAATTATACTGCTCGGTCGAATTAGAATCTTAATCTTTACGGTAGAAACTTCCTTCCGGGGACCGTTTAAAAAGATTGATTAATTATTTTCAGCGTGTTGAATAGAAGTCCCGAGCATCTTATCAAAGAGATCATTCTGGTCGACGACTTCAGCGATCATCGTAAGGAATCTTCCTTAATTTTCTTTTACAACGATCGAATTTATTTTAAAATTTGCATATTCTTTTTACAGCCGAGGATGGCGAAGAGCTGTCAAGGATACACAAAGTTAGGGTGATACGCAACGAAAAGAGGGAGGGTTTGATGAGGTCGAGGGTGCGCGGAGCGGACGCAGCGACCGCGAGCGTGTTAACCTTCCTCGACTCTCATTGCGAGTGCAACGCGGACTGGCTGGAGCCACTTTTGGAGAGGGTTGCGGAAGACCCCACCAGAGTCGTCTGCCCTGTTATCGACGTGATAAGCATGGACACCTTCCAATACATTGGTATACTTTCATTATAATTATTATATTATTCTTCCTTTTCAATATCTACTCCTGTAGGCGTTTAGTGGAGGGGAGAGAGAGGGTTTCGTCACAGTACAGTAAAAGCTGGATATATGCAACAAACATTGGGACCCAGACGTTGCATATATCCAGTCGAGGTGTCTAATCTCCGGTTGCACGCGACGAGCAGCCAAGCGTGAACGTAGAAAAGGACAGACAGTGATGGAAAGAGAGAGGTCCGATGATCAAAGGAAAGAGCCGAAACGTATCGGTGTGACTAATGCTAATTCAACTATAAAACTTTTTTATTTTTGACTTTTTTTTACTGAAACTTTTACTAGCGCATTGGTGAAATTTTTCGGATTAGAATGATACCAAACACGATATAGTTTGAATTATAATTACTTGCTAAAATTGATGTTAAAAGTTGGCGAAAAACAAAGAAGGATTGGAAATGAAAACCGGTTGCGGTGTCGGCTCGGGTTTCAAACGTTGCATATATCCAGCCGAGGTGTCAATTCTGGGCATTTAATGTTGCATATATCCAGCCGAGGTGTCGATTCTAGGCATTTAAACGTTGCATATATCCAGTCTTGGTGTCGATTCTGCGTCCGTACAAATCGTTTGTACGGTGCCGCGATACCTATTCTACGTTCGTACACAACATGCGACGTGTTGCATGTTGCGTGTTTGATGTATCTTTGGTGTACGGCCTGCCTTATGCATATGTACAGTTTTATTATTATTTTAATAAATAAATATAATTCAAATCATATCGTGTTTGGTATCATTTTAATCAGAAAAATCTCACAAATGTGTTAGTAAAAGTTTCATTAAGAAACAGTTAAAAATAAAAAAGTTTTATCGTTCAATTAGTATTAGTCACACCGATATTACGGTCGGATCATATTACACGGTTTCCTCGCCGAGAGGCTCGGTTCGGCTTAGGGGGATCCCCCCAAGTGGAGGGGATAGCAAAATTGCATATATTCAGCCAAACTTTTGTTGCATATATCCAGCTTTTACTGTATAGGAAAGAACAGTAGGCTCACTCCGTGTCGGCACCTTTGATCTCATGACCAATAGGTCGCCATATTGCTGGTTGTGCGCGGGCTCTAATTTGAAAAGCACTCGGTACAATCAAAAGGAGATTTCATAATAGAATACCATAAAAAGACTATTAAATATCTACATTTAATTAAAATACACATTTTATTGAAATCTTTGTGCAATACAATTATTATATACAACAATTATTCAATTAATAAAGTCCTAATAAATTATATACAAATGTATAATGTATACAGCATATCTTAGAAATTAATAAACAACCCATAAAGTGGTAATATTTTGATAAAACAATGATGATAATAATAATAACGTCTATATCTAAAATGTACAAGAAACGTTGGATAAATATCATTTGACAGATATAAAATATAGGGTGTCCCAGAACGCCTGTCACTGCTGTCACTGCTTGCACTTTGGCACCCTTTGAAGGAACAACGGTATCCACCTCTTTCACTCATATTTTATATCTCTGATGCAAGAACCATTTTGCAAGAAACTACTATAATATATATTCACAGCCGCCATATTGTTGGTTGTGCGATTCGGTCATGCGCGAGCGACAATTATTGGTACGCTTTTTGGCAGAGTGATCCTACTGTGCTTTCGTCTCCTCGGACGCCTTTAGTTCGGGCCGGGGACCGCTAGGTGGCGGCGAGACGATCGGTGATTAACGTTCTCGCTAGTGGTGGTCGCCCGGCATGCAATTCAAATATATAGGAATTCCGAATTGCGGTATGATAACTGACTACACTCCTATTTTCTTCCTCAACTAGTCAATGAAATTTTCTCTTTCCCTCAGACAAGATTGCCTTATAGAAACCTTCTAATTTCTATCTCCGAGACACCCTACGTTCTTTTCCCTTCGGTTAGATTAGGTTCAGGTGTCTCCAACTACCCTGTTTCGTTCTCCTTCGATTTCCTGGCTGTGTAAAAATATCTTTGGAACAGTGTACCGGATTCGTCAGAAATATTCCATTCTAAAAACCTACCTAATATCACTCTATAACTTCATAATTAACGAATTATTAATTTCTGTTCTTCAGGGGCGTCAGCAGACCTGAGGGGTGGTTTCGACTGGAGTCTGGTGTTCAAATGGGAGTATCTAAGCCAAACGGAGAGACAAGCGAGACAAAAAGACCCGACGCAAGCAATCAGAACGCCGATGATCGCCGGTGGTCTGTTCGTCATCAACAAAGCGTACTTCGAGATGCTCGGCAAGTACGACACCCAGATGGACGTTTGGGGTGGCGAGAATCTCGGTGAGAAAAGTCAATCTCTTACTCGCGAGGAATTCGTGCTACGTGACCGAACGTTGAATAGCTTTTCAACGAGTTTTCCCCCCCTCCTCCATCCCCGAACTACCTCTTTTCACAGAGATCTCGTTCAGAGTGTGGCAATGCGGCGGCAGCTTGGAGATTATTCCGTGTTCCCGTGTCGGCCACGTGTTTCGCAAACGGCACCCCTATTCGTTCCCCGGGGGTAGCGGAAACGTTTTCGCCCGGAACACCAGACGCGCGGCCGAGGTTTGGATGGACGATTACAAACAATTCTACTACAATGCGGTCCCACTGGCGCGAAATATCCCGTATGGAAAGTGAGAAACTTTTTCATTAAATTTTCTCAAATTAATTTCGTTTCACGCTCCATGTAGATTTTTAAGGAATCTTGTTAATCTTATTCTGCTCGATGAATGATTTATTTATTGTAATTTACAAGAAAAATTTGTAAATGTTGTTTCGCCTCCCTCCCCTCGATCATTTATCACGTTCTAATTTCTCGGCCGTCTTAGGTCGTGGAAGAAGCTCGATTTACGGCTCGCGAACGGGACGAAATACCGATAGTCGATTTCATTAAAACGCGTCGGAGCACGTGAGAGCCGTATTAATAAAACGTCGTTTTCCCTTCCCCCGATCTCTCTCTCTCGTTTTAGTATTCAGGACAGGATGGAGCTGAAGCGGAAATTGCACTGCAAGCCGTTCAGCTGGTATCTGAAAAACGTGTATCCCGAGTTGGTTATACCGACCAGCGAGGGTGGTCCTGGTGGATCTCTGAAACAAGGCACAGCCTGCTTGGATAGCATGGGCCACCTACTAGACGGGAATGTAGGACTTTATCCGTGTCACGACACCGGTGGCAACCAAGTAAGTACGAGGGTTCATTATTCACCATAAAACAGGTATCTCATCCAGCAGAGAAAATAAATCTCTTCCTTAATTCTAGTCGAACAACTAATTTTGCAAAATTTCATTAACGACAATGGAGTTTAATTAGCGAATAACAAAGTAATTGATGTAATATGCTGTGTGTATAACAATATTTTAATAATATATCGACCCAAATACTTGGTAGAAATAACTATTCGCCTTTATCCTCTGCCATTAATCCGTGTATTCAATTTTTCATATCAATTATTCCTCTACCAGGAGGATTTCTTTTCAAAAGAATTTTTTCTTAATCTCTCGCTATCGATGGTAAAGCAGAAACTTGTTTGATGCATTAACATTCCTTTGATCGTTCATCGATTCGTTCATCAGCAGAGGTATTACCTACTTTCTCACGAGTTCTCGTTTCACTATCCACTGAAACGTATATACATATCCTCTAACTTGATCCTAACTACCCTAACTCACTGACCTGAGCCTAACTGAGACCTAGTTTACATTAATAGAGCGAATGGTAGCGCTAGGACGTTGAAGTGGTGGAACTTTAGTGCTCTACCATCTTGCTGTCCTGACTCTAATTTTTGAGCTTTGATTAAATTTCTAGAAATTTCAATTACTATCACGGTCAGGTCGGCTGGTTTTCGTCAAGGCCAACGTTTTGGGCCACTTGGCTCGCGTTCCCTTTGAGGGTGTTTTCATTTATCGGAGAAATACCAAAAGTTTCTCCTCCGACCTTGGGGGGAATTAAAATAGTAACCCCCCCCCCTCCTTCATAAGCAAGCCAGCACGACGGAGGGCATTCCTCGAATAATAAATATCACAATGATCTGACTAGTACGTTTAATGTTTCAGGAATGGGGCCTGACCAAGGACGGTCTGATCAAGCACCACGACCTCTGCCTCACTCTACCAATGTACGCGAAGGGTACGACGTTGCTGATGCAGATCTGCGACGGCAGCGAGAACCAGAAATGGAGGCACCTGGAGGGTGGACTGATCCGTCATTCGAGGATCCCGGTATGCGTGGACTCGAGATACCACGAGCAAAGAGGGATCACAGCGGAGAAATGCGATTCGAATGCCGAGACGCAGAGGTGGCACCTTTACAACCATAATCACTAGCTCGCGAACAAGAGGAGCGGTGGCTCGTGAAAGTCGCGGTGCCGTCGTCACTCGCGAATGACTCAAGGTGTGCGTTATCTGATCAGAAGAAGACGGGTCGATTTGATCAGGACCAGCGATCTGATCGATCCTAGATCAAGATTGCTTAACAGAACCGGTCGATGATCGATGGACCTTCCTAGAGTTCATAGGCGATTGTATGATATTATTATTATAATTATATACTCGTATCGATGAGACTGTCGCGAGAGATTCTCGATCAAAGCGTTAGAAACAGAGAATGAAATTCGCTAGCGAGTCATTGAATTTATTATTTTGTCCAAGGAGAGTAGATTGTTGCTTCTTATTTTTCATTTAATCAATTAGAAAGCGGGTCTGAGGTGTTTCGAGAAAACTTTTGTAACGTCGGAAAATATTCCTTGATACCCAGCCCTGCTTTCCGTGTACTTTGCGTCCCGGTGCATTTATCTTAACGTCGATGATCTCAATCGTTTGAAAACTACGAAAGTAGACTTAATGAGAAACAAAGAACACCGATGATATTTTAACTCGGTAATATTTTAAGCAAACTCCAGTGACAATTGTGCACTTTGAATCGAAGCATTTATAAAGTTTCAGGTTTTCTATTTTTATTTTTTATTTTAATCGATTGCGAAGCGAATCGCAGTTACTTCCAAAGCGTTGTTTTTATCAATTTCTCATGTTTTAACGGCCTTAAGCGATGAGAGGCGAATGGAAGACAGTAGCGATTCTTGTTTATTTTTAGCTGAACTTATTACAGCATCGACCTCGGTCGCGGTGTGAATTGAATGATGCTTCTCGATCAAAGGCGTGCGCTATGATTCTCACAAAAGAGATTTATTTTTGTATAAGAAATCGTATACTTACTTGGTTGTGCGAATACAAGGACTCGACGTGTTCGTGTACATACACGCATACGAAGAACGCGTTGTTCTTTACTCCGAAGACACGTTACGTTTGTTCGAAGATCCTTCTAATAGCCTGAAAAATGAAATTTTTTTTTTTTCTTTATCTAAGGACGATGCGTACGAAATCGTATCGTGTATCTAGAACGCGTCGAATCGATTGGCAAGGAGGAAAGACGACTAATACAGCAATACGTAGCAAGGGGATGATCTTTTGTACACTTATACTTTCACGACGACAATGATCTTACTGCCGTCGTCTCGCATTGACACTAACCACACGTTCGTACGTAACATAAGTATATAAAATACGTGCATCGTGATTACGCTAACGAAGTTACTACTGTAAGCTTTTGTATGATATTAACAAGCGCGCCCTTTTAATCGCCTATACACACGCTCGTAGCTTTACGAAACGCTGTACATTGAGAGAGAGAGAAAGAGGTTGTTTTTACTCGAAATATTAGGTGATACTCGATAAGATTCGGATTGAAATTAGTTGGAATTCACGCGATCGGCATTAATGAATTGTAAATACGAAATAAGAATCTTGCGCTTTAAAAATGATGCAAATTCAATCTGTCTATACGATTTCTCATCGATTTTCACGATACCTTATACATACTCAAAGGGTTAAAAAATATTGCGCTCTTATTTTCATTCGATGTTTGTTTAATTCTGTGTTCATTTATATCAAGGTTTCGGGGCCGGCCCTGGGCCTAGGCAGACTATGCGGCCTAGGGACCCCATAAAACGATTTTGCGACTAAGAATGCAAGAAGAGTAATGTTTATTTGAATATTAATCAAGGTAAATGCAAATCTAAATTTCGTTTAAACTCTATTGCCTTTTTATCAAACTAAACCACAATAATTACAGCTGAGTCTATTTTCTCTGTTCCCGGGAAAGTCATTCAGAGATACAAGACATCGTAAAGGGTGCCAATCCCTATTGCTTCCTTTCAGTATACTGTAAATACTTCTACGTAATCAATTTAATCGTCTGTCTCCCGTCCTAAGACGTCTCTGAATACTTTCTCTGTTATCAAAAAAGAACACATTTAGTATCGGGCAAAATTGGACATTTTTTTTAAGCCTTTATCGTTAAGAAATATCATAAGTAATTCGAAATTGTACAGCAAGTGAATTGCTTGGAAATATACAAGGTATCAAACGCAACCACATTGTTCACCGCTTTCGTCGCGTGCTTCTCGTGAAAGACAACCATAATCGCGCTTAACGAATTGTACATAACGCGTCTAGAAAACGTAAGCTTACGAAACACGTCGTACTTCCATGAATCTGTAAACTGTAAAAAATAACGAGCGACTTAACGTTAAGTTAGCCGAGCAATTTAGCTCGACGACGAGCACACTCGACTTTGATGCTCGAATCATGATACAATAAGTGATTGCACTGTACATTGAAAACGAATATTCACGATTTCTCTCGTACGATACGTTGAATTGTTCATTAGTCTTGTATTTGTTAAGATAAAGCCTCGATTCGAAAGGCTGTGCTATCGTGAGGGTGCAACATGCCTCGATTTCTTGAAACGTGTTCAAAAAACGAGGCTAAGTGATCTGTAACGTTAAAGGTTGTTAGTTTTTAATTACGTCTGTTACTTTTACATTACTTGTACGATATTCGTTCGAAGAGATTCTATAGATCGAAGACTCGGTATGTGAAACCAACGTTTGGGTAATGTTTAAAGATAAATGGTTTTTTTTATCGTTCGAAGTCTTCGTTTGTTGACGAAGAACGAAGGGAAATACCGGAATATCCCTTCTATTAAGCTATAACGAAATTGTAACGAATTTGCAATTTCTGCTAATAAAATAATTCCGAAAATATACATATATATACATAAACATAATGGACGTTCGTTTTCCAGTCCGAATACCTGTCTTCAAACTGTACACATTGTATTTCTACGACTCTGTATTTTGCAAATGTATGATATCGAACTGGAGAAATAATATGTATAAATATATACAGTATGTATATGTTTATATGTATTTATACTTGTATGGTAAGGATGCGATATTATGGTACTTATAGGAACAAGGTTTTCTAATAAAACAAGTGGAATTATTCCAGAAACTTATGTGTTTAATTAAACAACAATTTACCAACAAACGTGTTATTTTTATTAAAAATATCGTATATAAATACATCTATGAACAAAATCGAGTCTTGCTATTCACAAAAGATCGCTACGATTGTCCCCCGCGTTTCTTCAATCCTTTCTTTACTTTCTTTTTAAACTCATCCAAGTTTATATCTGTTTCTTGTTCCTTCTTCTCTTTAGGTTTCTCTTCAGGAGGTACAAATGCTTGTGCTCTGCGCTCTTGCCTCTTCTTCTCAGCTTCTTGGTGTCTAGCTTCTTGTTCTTTCTTCCTCTTGGCTCTCTTCTGCTCCTCCTTCAAGAAGTATTCACCAGATGCTATCATCTTATCTATCTTGCTTTCAGTTTGCGGTGGTGGGAATGGAGTATAAGGTTTCTTCTCCTTCTTCTTCTTAGGCTGTTTCCTTTTGCTGATATTCTTGCTGCTGAACTTTGGAAGGAACCTCTCCCAATTTTCATTCTTTAATTTTGGGTCTTTACCTAGCTCTCTCTTGATCATCAATGCTTTAACATTATAAATTGGATGAATGTTTTTCATAGTGTCTTCTACAATGCGTCTAACTTGTTGCAGACCTTTGTAAGGACCCAGTGCAGCCACTGTTTGCCCCTGTACAAGTACATAACAATTTGTTAACAGTTCAATGGATTTCAAAGTACATCCATTCGGTCCGATAAGCCTCTGACGTCTTTTAACAAACTTCTCTCTGTTTCTAACAAGGGAAGATATTTTTATAATATCTGAACCGATATCATCCTCTAGTACTCTGACAGCCTGTTCAAATGGAACAGATCGTGACATAAGTTTGATCATGTCACGTGCCTTAATGATAATGTAAGGATCCCATGTTTTTCTCGTAGTTTTAACTGTCATGCTTCCTTCCACCAGGTCCAATTCTGCTTTAACAGCATGCTCGCCCAAAGCTTTTTGAACAAGCGGCCAATGTTCTTTCAAGTAGTGTTCTCTGTACTTCGGAAAAAGTGTCGCAAACGAACTTTCTTCTAACAGACGACTAGGATTATCTTCCGGCTTAAAAGCTGGAATTTTTAATGACCAAGCATTGTCTACCGGTCCGGTCACTTTAGGACCGTCTTCTTTTTCAGAATCACTCATTTTTTACATTTAAATATTTTAGTGTTCTATCATTGCACTGAACTACAAACTATAACCTCAATTTAAGACTAGACATCAAGGGTTTTGAATTTGTGCCTTTGGAATGCACGCCATCTGCTCTATCCTATTATAAAATTGTGAAATACTTCGCACCGCAAACCTACATGAAGCTAGCCGGAAGGAATAATAAAATATGATTATTTTTAATTTTTCTTAGTGTATTTCGTTTGTAAATCGTTTGTGATTGATTGTGAGTCTATTTTTAACGTTTGTGACAAATTAGTTCTTTTGTAATTAGCAATTTTATTTCAATCATGATGTGAGCCAAAACTTTTTAGTAATTTTTTATAATAAACATATTTTGTAATAACTGATAACTGTAATTGATTGGAAATCGTTTGTGATTTACAAATATATCATTTTCATTGTTTGTGAGTGAATAATTTCTTAATTATTTACAAGTTCGTACCCATCACTACCTCGAACAAGTGAGTTTCACGATTTGTTCGTTTTTAGGTCTTATATTTCGCTAGATCCGGTCGTACCCATCACTATTCCGAACAAGTGAGTGTCACGATTTGTTCGCTTTTAGGTCTTATATTTCGCTATTTGCATCGGGGTCCCTGACATCCCGGTGGCATAATGTCGGTATGTACCGTCACCGGTATCTCGGGGTCTCGGATACCCCAAATGCAAGTGTCGGTAGGCAGAGTGTCATTGGTGCTTCGGGGTCCCTGACACCCCGAATACCATAATGTCGGTATGCAGAGAGAGTCACCGGTGCGTCGGGGTCCCTGACACCCCGAATACAATGAGGTCGGTATACAGAGAGAGCCACCGGTGCTTTGGGGTCCCTGAAACCCCGAATACCATAATGTCGGTATGCAGAGAGAGCCACAGATGCTTCGGGGTCCCTGACGCCCCGAATGCCAAAAGGTCAGTATACAGAGAGAGCCACCGGTGATTCGGGGTCCCTAAAACCCCGAATACCATAATGTCGGTAAACAGAGAGAGCCACCGGTGCTTCGGGGTCTCTAACACCCCACGATGTATCAGGTCAGTATCCAAAGGGTGTCATTGGAGCAGCGGGATTCTTGAAACCACTGAATGAAATCAGGTCCGTATGAAGAGGGCATAACCAGTATAATAATCGTCCTCTCATTTCTTCCAGAGTTTATTTAATTTACTTCATTTATTTTTTTTGCTTAGTAAATAAGCTCACCGAAGGGGAATAACATTTATGATTATATCCCTCTTCTGGGTCTCAGCCGAGGACCCCATTTATTTTACCTTTTTCGGCTATTTATATAATTTTATCCCTCATTATAGGCCAAGGCCATTTCAGTATCCCTTACATCCCTGCAACCCTTAAATACCTCTTTTTTTTTTTTTTTTTTTAACGTGGTGGAAATCTTCAGAAAGACACCTTCAGCCCCCCTGGGGAGGGGCCGGAGGTAGTGTGGGATTTTTACCCACTAAAACCACCACGGTGGCCTGCATTAGGGCGGCAGGGAGGGTCCTTTGACCCTCCGCCATGTGCCAAACTCCGCCGACATCGGGGGCCACACCCGATGCCCGTACTCCTCAGGCCGCGTGCAGTGGAGACCGGGCCCCCAGCCCCGAACCCCTACGGAATTCTTCTACATCCCTCGTTCCGTTACATCTCTGCATCCCTTACATCCCTGCATTCTTTTCATCCCTACATTCTTTTCATCCCTACATTCTTTCCATCCCTACACTCTTTTCATCCCTACACTCGTTTCATCCCTACAGTCTTTTCATCCCTACACTCCTTTCATCCCTACATTCTTTTCATCCCTACATTCTTTTCATCCCTACATTCTTTTCATCCCTACATTGTTTTAATCCCTACACTCTTTTCATCCCTACATTCTTCTCATCCCTACATTCCTTTCATCCCTACATTCTTTTCATCCCTACATTCTTATCATCCCTACATTCTTTCCATCCCAACACTCTTTTCATCCCTACATTCTGTCCACCCCTACATTCCTTTCATCCCTACATTCCTTACATCTCTGCATCCCTTATAATAAATATATTATAAAGACTGCTTCGAGTAAAGGTAAGTTAGTTCCTTTTTTCGCCGCCAGAGGGCGCTGATTCGATATCGAAATTTTAGTTCACATTTTTGCCGCCAGAGGGCCAGAAATCGAGCATGATATAGTTCCTTTTTTCGCCACCAGAGGGCGCTGATTCGACATCGAAATTTTAGTTCGCATTTTTGTCGCCAGGGGGCCAGAAATTGAACATGATATAGTTCCTTTTTTCGCCACCAGAGGGCGCTGATTCGACATCGAAGTTTTAGTTCAAATTTTTGCCGCCAGAGGGCCAGAAATCGAGCATGATATAGTACCTTTTTCGCCACCAGAGGGCGCTGATTCGACATCGAAATTTTAGTTCACATTTTTGCCGCCTGAGGGCCAGAAATCGAGCATGATATAGTTCCTTTTTCGCCACCAGAGGGCGCTGATTCGACATCGAAGTTTTAGTTCAAATTTTTGCCGCCAGAGGGCCAGAAATCGAGCATGATATAGCTCCTTTTTCGCCACCAGAGGGCGCTGATTCCACATCGAAGTTTTAGTTCAAATTTTTGCCGCTAGGGGGCGCTATTTTCGAGAATTTCGCGAAAATCTGACTCGGTTTCTGGCCCTCTGGCGGCAAAAATGTGAACTAAAATTTCGATGTCGAATCAGCGCCCTCTGGTAGCGAAAAAACGAACTAAATTTGTTTAAAAACGCAGGCTTTATAGCCGCAAAAGTTTCAACTCAATTTCAGGGAGGTACTGGGATGTATGGAATGCAGGAATATAAGTGATACAAGGATGTAAAGGATACTGGCATGAAAGGGATGCAGGGATGTAAGGGATGTTGGGATATAAAGAAGGCAGGAATGTGAGGAATGCAGAGATATAAGGGATGTAGAGATGTGAGAAATGCAGGGATGTAAGGGAAGCAGAGATGTAAGGGATGAAGAGATGTAAGGAATGTCGGAATATAAGGGATATAGAAATGTAAGGAATGTAGGGATATAATGGATGAAGCGATGTCAGGAATGTAGGAATGAAAGGAATGTACGGATGGAAAGAATGTATGGATGAAAAGAAAGTAGGGATGAAGTGTGCTCTTTGCATGTAAACCTAATCCCATAAAGGGGTGCCTGGGACCCCGTAAGTCATGACCCTTCCAAAATAGACATGTCCAGTCATACCGACTGCCGGAGGATCGATCGGTAACTCACCAAGTAGTTTGTGCCATTTTTATATAGGTAACGCTGTACTGGAAATTAAAAAAATTTTTAACATATGGCGGTCTTTTTAAAAACAGCGCATAACTAAAGAAATCCTATATATGATTTTTGCTATCACAAAATCTATATGAATCTATTCTTTACTACTAGCAATATTAAAACCTCAATACGTACACACGTAATGTATGTAATATTTACCATGGATTCATAACATCCTGTTTACAAAACATTCTTCTTTTCCTTGAACAAAAGGAAAGTCAAATTATACATAAATCTATAATCGCAGAAGATTAGAAAAGACCTATCAAAAAGAAGCAAACGAAAAAAAGACAAATATTTCCTCAAGTATGAATCGAACTGAATGATAACGATAGATATGTAATCGTTACTTATACACATATGCTGCATATATTGATATTCGTTTAACCGATACCAAAGTCGTGACATCAAATCAATCGATGCTAGAAATCAATCGCACAATGAGCTTGCACGTAGCATGTTGTAGTGTTAATGTATAATGTCGCTAAGACAGTTTCGCGTGGAATTCGACCGATCAAGTGCCACATACGCGGCTGGTGAAACTGTCGTGGGAAGAATTATAGTAGATGTTGCTAGGGAAAAAATTGTTAGAGGTGAGTGTCAGAAGAACTATTAATTTGCATGTACAAGGTAGTGGCGCGACGATGCAAACATTTGATACAAAATGAAACGTGGAAATCATTTGTTCTACTTAATACAATGTTAAATATTTAGCATAATTGCATAATAATTACTAACAATAAGAGCAATTTATGCAAGCGTCATTATTTGTCACGGCGAACGGCTTTTATCACAAAACGATAAATCGCACCTGATTATCTCTTGATTTTGTCAAGAATTGATTACTCCGTTATCGGTCTTCCTAGAAGCAATGTCTGTCTTACACTTCCGGTCGGTGAAAGATGTACACAAATTCTGTAACAGCGTTATTATTCAAAATTTTAATTTTAATTTTATAGCAGCCTCTCGTTATATTGCCGCGAACGGGGCTGTAGGGTTGGAAAATTTAGGAAGAAAGATAAGTAGCATTAACATACTTAAAAATCCTCGCGAGGATCAAATCGCTCACGTGGCAATATAACAACCGTCCATTACACTATTAACTTTACTCCTAAATATTAGAAATGGAACATTAACAAATCATTTACTCAAAACGTACAATAAATTGTAGGGCTGTTTTTCTCCGTGAAGGGTGAGGCTCATGTTCGCTGGACAGAAGAGGAAACGGTGACCAGAGGCAATGAGAGACGTACTCGTACCATAGTTTTCACCAATTCGGAGCAATATTTCAGCTTCAAATACAGCATTCTAGGTAACCAGAACTGTAAGTAGCAAATTCTATAACACGTAAGAATTTCAATTGGTGTTATTGAAAAATGGTAAAAAATGGTAATAAATTTGAGCAAAAATGTTTCAGCGGGCTCACGAGTGAAAATTGCTGAAGGACAGAATACGTATCAGTTCAGTTTCCAGCTACCCCAGAACATTCCCAGCAGTTTTGAGCACCAATACGGTCACATAAGGTACACGGTGAAAGCTGTGATCGACAGGCCATGGAAGTTCGATCACCAGAGCAAATGCGCATTCACGGTGGTCGCCGTATTGGATCTGAACGAGCACCGTGAAATATGCGTAAGAAATTATTTTTCATTTTTTAAATTTCCTATATAAATATATATATGTCTCATTCCCGTAACGCTTTAAATCCCTACTTTTTTTAAAAATGTTCTTAAGTTATTATCATATTCAATTAAATAGCTGGGAATCGACGATGAAATTCAAAAAGAATTCCACCTCTGCTGTTGCCTGTTCAGTAAGGGTAAATTAAATTCGCATGTCAGAGTACCAATCACCGGATACGTTCCGGGACAAACTATAGAAACAATGATAGACTATCAAAATCTGTCAACCAGTGTAGAGATGACCAAGATCAGCGTGAAGCTGGAACGAGTAAGCGAGAGATTCTACGAATATTCATGTTAATTGTAATGAATATTAGATGACCATTTTCTTTTTATATTTTGTTCAAAGGCACTCACGTTTCATGCCTCATTACCGAGCTACAAAAAAAAAAGAGAGAACACCGAAATCAAATCTACTAGATTGTCTGGTCCCTTTCCCACCAATGGACAAAGCGTTATGGAACTTCTGGTACCACCCATACCACCATCTAATTTGGAATTTTGCAGTATCTTAGATTTGGAATATAAATTAATTGTTAATACTCACGTTTCGGGAATGTAAGTACCGTTAATTGGAAACAGACATTATCTTATAGGGTGTAAACTTTACACCAAAAGGCAAATAGTAATTCGTAATGTTCATGAAATTAGGCACAGCAAAATCAGCAAAAGTTACCCTATCTTAATTGGAACAATACCACTGTACTCGTTCATAAGACCAGATCCCATAACGATACCGATGCCAATGCCACCTACCGCACCTTTTTCTCCGCCTGACGAACAACTGGATACTTCTTCGAAGCTTCTACATTCGGCTCCTGGTTTCGTTCATTCAAATCAACCAAGCACTTCTACCAACTGGGACAATATACGTAAGAAATTAACGATGATTTGTATTTAGATGTTGATATTAACAATACTGATTTTCATTAATTACCTTTATTATCCAGCACCTCCATCTTATGAGGAATGCATGTCGAGGGCTGACAATATTAAAGATCAAGATGAGTCGAGTTACGTGATCGGTGCGAGCGATCCTTTTGCACCTAAGTATCCTGTGTTCAATTATCCAGTGCCGAGTAAGTTTTTATTTATCATATAACAAATCAGTTACGCTTTATTTTTAAATTTTCAACTATCAATATTCTTTTTCAGATATGCATAGACAATAAAGGAGAAAGAAGTTTCAATCAATGTAAAAAAACTTGTGAATATCTACCTCTATAATTCTTTAAGCTGCCTTCATATTCTTGTCATTATTTATCTTTATATTTCCTATTTATAATATACAATATCGAGTATAGTAGACTACCCCAAGAAAAATGGTGATTAACCCCCTTTTGCCGGGGTAGGGTGGAAACATCCCTGAACAGAAGGGTTACCGACCTCCCCTGTAGTCTTATTTGCATTCCCCAGTTCTGAAGTTCTTGGCCCTCGCCACAAACCTTCCGACCTCCGCACGCCCATGCTTCCCCTTAGGCGGTCCCGAGGAGACTGATCTGAGTAGGGTAGAAGGCCCCTTATATATAGACCTGTGGCGGACCACTGCTTGTACAAACGCTCGCGCGGGAAAATTTGAATTGATATTCTTGTTATTCGCACTTTTCAGTTACATATACTAAATTTTTTTTCCTTGGAAAGCCTACTTTGCTCGATACTACATAGTACGCATATATTTACAAATAAATAAATATTTTTATTAATAAAGTTTCATTGTTTTCTTTTCCTACCGTTAAAAGAAGTAAGGGAGAAGCAACGATTTTACGAAAATGGTATATATTTACACAATTTATTTCATATTTCAACATCGTCATATTGTAATCATAATCATCATCGAGTCACGTTATAATTAGCAAAAAAAAAAAGGAAAGAGAAAGGGTAACGAATATCATCTCGAAAAGGGAAAACAAATAGAATAGAATTGCATGAAAATAGGAGTATAAAAGGAATGAGAGATTCGTCGGTAACAACTTCGGCAACCAAGAGATTGCAAATCGGTCGTTCTCAAAAAGTTCAAATAAAAAAATAAAAAGAAGAAAAGAGTAAACAAGAAAAAAAAAAAACAGGTTTGCGAGAAACGTGTATCATTTGTACGCGTTTGTTTAATGAAATCGAGAGAAAAACGTAAGGAAGGCTTATCAACAAGTCGCGAACTTATCTCGAATCCATTACTCATATATAAACATCTTCTATTCTAGGTGTATATTAGGTGAACTTTACGCTTTAGCAAATACACACGGTACGATTTGCGTTTTAAACCACCAAATGCCCGATGAACGTGTCATTGTAGGAACTGAAAGCAACCATCTTAATGTTAAAGGCTGACTTAAATACTGTCAATAGACACGGATCTTCACTTTTCTTTTGTTTCTTTTTTTTCCATGCAACTTATTGTCGGATGTCTGTGCAAGATTTACTTTCTGCTGTACCATTTGTTTAGGGATAAATAAACAAGTAAAAATTGATAATATGCGGCTGGTTAACGAGGGCAATAAAAATTCAGTTTCAATTCTGTCTTTAATATTAACGTTTGTTGCAACTGGTCCCATTTAGTATATTTATTGTTTTTAGGTGCAACAATCGTTTGTTAACGCGTTGAATGCCGGTGATCGGTATCACGAATATAATTAAATAATTACAATAAAAAAGATCAAAAGACAATTCAATATCATGTATACCAGTTTTGTAAAGTAAAAAGTAGCAAATTAAAAATAAATTTCAAAAATGTAGTTAAGTACGGCGTTCAACGTGTTATGTGCTGTTAATTTTACTGAAGTTAAATCGCTTGTTACAATCGATTATATACACTGAACGCAATTATTCACGGGAACATCCGACGTTCAATCTAAATGAAATCTATACGCTACAATTGGTTTACATCGTTTTGTTTTCCCAACGTGTTTCTGGTGCAACGGAGACAACAAATGAGTAATCCTGAACTGGCATTCGGTGTCGTAGAAGTACTCGTGTTTATTTAAAATACGAGTTTAGAAAGAAAAAAGGTATTCGTCGCGTCGAAAAAAATGATATGCTTCATTCTTTTTTTTTTTATACGAAATTACATTGCATTAAATTTCAACAAACAAGAAGGATGAACAAAATAAAACGAATAGAGCCAAGAATTGATTACAAATATATTGAAAGGCGAGAAAAAAAAAAATCTGTGAGTTTCTAAGAAATAAAGTACTGAATGCATTGAAGTAATAAAAAATAAAATAAAATAAAATAATATCGATGAATTTCCGTGCGATACATGTTGATACATGTATTCTTGACTCGATAATGTTTCCTGACTTTTCATTTTCTTTAAAACTCTCTGATTATCCTGATTTCCTTCGGGAGGGGAAAGGAACTGTGCGCTCCGACTTTACAAAAATTTGCTTCGCTTATATTACAATAACCTTCCCTCGACTTAAGACATTCAACCCTTAATATATTATTATCATAAATAAATTTGGTCTATCGGTAATATTGTGAATACGCCGGTACAAATACTGGCAGTATTTGGTTAAGTAAGAAATCATGATCACTAGAAGAGGTAACCGGTACCGAATGGATTTTATCTGTTACGAATTTGAAATATTCGGTGTTGAGAAACGACACGATTCATCAATCCACGTACACGCAATTGTTTTTCAATCCTTTATCAAACAACAAAAGAATCATTCGCATAGAAGTTTTATGCGGGGAAGAAAATATAACGATCACCGCCCAAATTTTGTTTCCCTCTTCAAACTATATCATACATACACGAATATCATTTTCATATCTTCGGTAGTCTGAAAAATAACTGCATGTGTAATAAAAGAGAGCGATATACGACACGCATGTTACAACTTCCAGTAAACTTGATTTAACATTATTCAATGGGATAATCGGGGTGATGAAGATCTGTTCACGGTTCACGATTGAAATTTCTTCCAAGTCGATACCAGAGAGTGTGTTAACAAAATCTTACAACTATGCACGATGTTGGAAAAATCTTAATGTTTCTGCAAATGTTACGGTAAAATAGAATGATGCTGTAACGTCTACTGAAAAGAAAATCATAAGAAAGACTTCGTAAGACTGAAGTATAGACCGAAGAAATTTGAATACCACGTAAACAGATCTACCGCGGAACCGCCGATAGGAAAGTATAGTGAGTCAGTAGATTCATTTTAAAAAACAGTAGTTGCAAAAGATGTCTTTTAGCGTTTCCGTTTGATTCACAAAACTGTCTTGTGTATTGTAAACTATCGTGACCCACTTATTACTTTTGCAGCACTTTGTTTTAAAAAAATAATCAATGTTGTCGCTACCACATTATGGCGCAATGGGTTCAAGACAAACATCAACATTTCATCTCTACCGTATTTGTATACATACATTCAATACAACATTAACATTAACTGAGATTAAGAAAAAGGCATAATTTACATTGTCGCTGTGTGTTGATCCAAGTCATGAACCAGAGGACACTGAGTTGTGCACACGTAGCGTGTGTTTTTTTTATAGTGTGTGGTATATGTCTTTACGCAATCACTTTACATTATTACACTTTTCTTTTTTATCAGTCCGCACACTTCCCAAAATCCTGTAAGAGGAAATATACGTTCCTCGTTTGAAAATTTCATCGAAATATCATATAACAATTTTTGCCATTAAATAATCAAAGCCTTCTAAATTGAGAAATATGTTACATATTATCTTACCATAACTATGAGTGAAACTTTTAACCCTCTCTCTTGATGGCACCTGGTGCTTCTGCCAACCCTTTAACTTTCAATCGATCAGCAGTTTTAAGAAATGCAGGCAATTGATCTTGTGAAACATTAACTTCTCCCGCGTACATGAACTCCAAAATAGCCTGAAGGTGACTGTACGCAACATCTTTTAGAATTATAATGGGGTGTTTGGACGGATTTTCCTGAAAGAGCTGGATGATTAGCTATCTAATGATTAAAAAGTTATGTTGAAATTATCACAATAACATACCTCTAATAAAGACTTAAAATATGGACTACAAGCAGATAACACCATCTTGTGTGCTTTACAAGTCTGACCGTCGCAAGCTAATGTCACATCTGTAAAACTTTTTTCATCCCGTAAATGTTTAAACGATGATACCATGTTAGATTGGAAATCATTCCATTTAAGAAAAAACTGCTGCTGTTCATCTGCCATTGTTGACGCTCAATGTTCTAATGTTCTTCAATTGAATCTGAAAGCTGAAACAAAAACGTTCCAAGTCAGATCAAATAAAATAACATGAAAATTAATAATGTTAACGCTATATAAATAACATAATAAAAACATAAGGGGCAAATTAAACACATACGTGCGTTAAATTAACGAAGAAGAAAATGATACAAGCGTAAGTTTATAGTAAAAATTTTCAAGTATTGTTTTCAAAATTCACAACAGAATGTTGCTATATCACGCGGAATCCTGTCTAACAGATTTCGTTTAGGTTAAGCCAAAAAAACATTCAGCAGCTCATGCCCGACGCGTTCGACAGCACGCGACAAAGCAGAAAGAAAAACAAAAATGAAGCATCGAATTGGAACATAAATTGATCCTACTCTAAAACTTGAAAACTCTTTGCATGACGTGTTACTCGCATTTTATCATAACAATACGCGTACATCCGACGGACCGTTCCGTCAAAGGTACTCGCAGGCCCAAAACGGCCCAGCAACGCGAAACCCGCCAGAAAAATAACCTAACGAAATTTGTAACTCACCTTCGATCGTTGGATCGGTGAATCCTCGATGGGAACGGTAAATCACAAAATGAACGCGAAAAATATATATTGCCGAAAAGTTTTTACACGAATGTTACCAATTTTTTGTTGTGGCTAATATCACGGCGAAGAAATTCGGTCGGATTCGGAACTTTCCGTCGCGGATCGGTTAAGAAAATTCTGTACCGACAACCAGTGGTATTATCGTCGTTACACGAGATGCCGCTGTAAGCGTCGATTTTCATCACTTGGTGGAACATTCGAAATTCTCGCAGCAGAAAATGTCAATCCAAAATTGTGTATCGACGTCATTGCAGCGCACAAAATGCATTTCTGTATGTATTCTTAATGCGTGCGATCTTCCGGAACCGAAGTACTATATAAAGAACAGAGTCAGTATAACAGAGTAACTATTTAACTGGTTCATTAGTTACTCTAAATTTGGACTGAACTGTTCGGTGATATACTTTAGCGCATAGATAAAAATATAGCCGAGCGAGCGCATCGTTCGTCAACCGTTTCATTACCGTAAATTCTGAGTAAGGATCTCGCGTCTATTAGCGATAATATCCTCTCTCACTTTGTGTTACCGCTAATTGCGCAATCTCACGCAAGCAATTGGACAGATATCAGCATGCGTTAACTGACAAATCAAATGTACCCGCTATTACATAGAAATCGGTTCCGATCGAGTGGACAACGATGACGGCAAACGATAATCGTCGGTTTGCTGTTCCCGCGAAACAAATCGTTCGTCCCCTGTGCGTACAATATCCAACGATGTTCGAACCGCGGCTAGATCTTAGATAAGATCGTAGGTGGAGGGAACGAAAATCGACCGGGAAACCTTTCGGTTTTCCATGGAAAATCCATGGATCGAAAGGACGGGATTCGTGTATAAATTCTTATAAATAGAACCGAGAAAGGCGAGCACCGGAAAAGTTTTCCTGTCGCGCGATGCCGCGACGGGACGACAGCGTGTCAGCGTGTAAGGCAAACAAAGAAGGATTGAGCTAACGAGAGAGGGAAGAGAGAGAGAGGGAGGAAGGGAAGATGGAAAGGAGAGGGAAAGAGAAAGAGAAAGAAGTAGTGAATCGAAAGAGGCGTGGAGGGAGAGGACGGTGGACGCGCGGTATCCGCACCGCGCTGTTAGCGCGGATCGCGGCAGCAGGAAAGAGTTGCGGGGAACGGGAACGGCTCGAGGGAAGCGCGAGCGCAAGCGCAATGAGGCATGGAGTTGCTCTCGGACGCACGCCACATTGAAAGCTTGCGACATGCTGCAAAGCCGCTCAGTCGTGCGCCAGCTCTCGTGAGGGTGGTATCGTTGTTTCATTTTCCGAGCATTCCCCTTGTGGTGTATCGTGAGATCACGAAAAAGCCCGCGTAGGCGTGGTGAACGCGTTGATCGGACCACGCGGTTTCGTCGAATAAGAAATCGTCTACCCTGTTTCGGAGGATAGATAACGTTAGCCGGGGTGCTTGTCGTCTTTGTCCTCGAAAATTGGAATAGTCGAGGGTCGCGTTTTGATACTTGGACCAGTGTCAGATCTCGGCCCGTCCGCACGGGAAAATCCCCGTTTCACCGTTCGAGGTCGTTCTCGCGGTAAAGTTTCAGCCTGAACGTGTTTGGCTCTCCGTTACACTCGGGCAACGTGTTACCAAGTTTTGTTTCGGACTCGAAAGAGAAAGAAATAAAAAAAAATAACAATAATAGTAATAACAATCATAAAGACGTTTGATTCGTTGAATCGGTAAGAAAGAGGTGATAATAGAATTGTGGGAAGATATTATCGTATCTGTGATGTGCGAGTGAGCTATGGATTCACCAGTCATGTACGACTCAGCGGCCCATCAGGCCCAGGCCCACCCTGCGGCCGATCTGAAGAAATCTCAGGTGCTCAACAACAACAACAATCATCAGAGCAACAACAACAACAACAATACGGCTAACAACAACAATTCGGCGCTGCAGGTGAATCACAATCACAACCAGCAGCAGGGCAGCGCGGTGGTGAGCAAGGTCTCGGCGAGCAAGGCTAGCCTTCACCAACAGTACGCGGAACACTGTGCCGCGGCCGGTGAGCTGACAGACCTGAACACGCCGGAGATATCGTTGGATCTGCAACACCTGATCGACGATAGCCACTTCAACGACGGCCTATTGGACATGTTAGGGGCGAACAACGGAGCCGTGAAGCATGTCAGAACGCCGGGTTATCCGCGAACCACTTTAGCCTACATGCCGCAGCCGGTGCACAGCGGGGCGAGTTACCACCAAGGCAGCAACAGTTGCAGCGACAGCAACAGCTCGAGTTCCGAATCGCCTAGCATCAAAGAGGAACCACTCGATCCGGCGGATTACCGTCGCCACTGTCCCCAATACGCGCCAAGCGGATACAGTCCGGTGACGAACGGTCCCTTTGCAAACGGTGCACCGACCTTCACCACCCTGACACCGTCCACCGTTCCCGGTGGTCATCCGGGCGCGCCCGTTCACCAACCACCGCCCCGAGGCGGACCGATGAAGCCGGTGATGGCGCATCAACATCACGCGAACAACGCCGCAGCCGCGGCCAGGAAACAGACCAAGGCCATCGACAAAGCGAGCGACGAGTACAGAAGACGACGCGAGAGGAACAACATAGCGGTGAGGAAGAGCCGCGAGAAGGCGAAGGTGCGATCGAGGGAGACCGAGGAGAAGGTGAAGCTACTTGTTAAGGATAACGACCTGTTGAAAAAGAGGATCGAATTACTGACCGAGGAGCTGAACGTGCTAAGATCGTTGTTCAGCAGCGTCGGCGTGGTGCCGGAACAACTGCACCGGGAAATCTCCAGGCACCTCGACCAGTTCCAGCAACACGCGGTCGGACCCATGTAGCGCAAAACGGCATCGTCGTCGAGCGGTGATGCGGTCGCATCGCGCCGCCTCTGTTACGCCTTTCTCTCGTCCAACCACGTCGACCTTCGTTCCTCGCCTTTCAGGCCGATACGATTGTGAAGGAGAATCGTTTTCCAAGCGACTTCCGCTTTTCGGAGGAGTGTTGTGCCTAATGGTACCGGAACGGTATCCTTTAGCAGAAACGAGCAAAAGAAAGGATAACTCCGTGGACTTAGCCGTGGTCTTTGTCTGGTACCGCGTGCGGAGAAACGCGGGACGCACGTGCGTCGTGCTCGAGTACCAGAAGAGACGCGATAAGATTGGAAAACAGGGAGGAACGGAGGAGAAATGGAGGGAGAAGGAAGGAGAGGCGTGACTCGTTTGAAGAAGAGACCACGTCGATTTCCGGGGAAAGCTTTTCGGCAGCTGGGGAACTTGGTCGACAACTTCGTGTGGAAAAGTGCCTCTTGCTCATGGCGAACTTGTTTTTATACACCCGAGTGCATCGGACACTTTCTTCTTTAAGATACGCAGCGGAGTATGATTCGAGGGGAAAAGAAAAAGGAAAAAGAGAATAGAATTTCTTCGATTCCCGCGTGTCCGCCATGTCGCGGTTGCCCTTATTTTTTTTTTGTAACTCCGGAAGGACATCTCCGGAGGATAGATGAAAATTATTCGATTTTCTTCGTTTCTTCTTCTCCTTTTTTTTCTTTCTATCGTATCCAATTTTATTCTTCTGAAAACAAAAAGTACGTAAAAGACTGTGGGGTGGTGGTACCGCGTGGTTCCGCTGGTTCGCCGCCTCATTCGATCGCGTAATTCGCGACACGCGGACGCGTTGCAACTCCGAACAAATCACGCATCGATGTGTACATACAAGCGCATTAATCACGTACACGTACGTTCACACGTCTTAAGAGAATAATACTTGCGTATACGCAAGAGAGAGGGAGGGAGAGACACATGTATACGTACCAATACAGGGAACGCGGGAATACGACGCTCGCATAAGTAATTTCGTTCGCATAAATCTTCGACGTTATACATTTTTGATGCGCCTATCCATGATCGTATACGTGTGACGAGGAAAAACACGCGCCACAAAGGAACACAAACACATACGACGAAAACACGCAGCAAACAGAGACACGACACAGAGACGATATAATATTGTATGCGCGATGTGTAACACGTGCAACCGCGTTGCGTTCAGAATCGTTCTTTAATTACGGACCGATTTAAATTAGATTATCTTTCTCATTACCATGTACCTAAAAAGGCATATACCGAGATAACGTAATTGCGATCAGCATCGATGCGACGATGCCACCCCATCTCGAATTCGTGCGTCTGTATTTCTTTTTCTTCTTAACAGGGTGAGAGAAAGCATCCGGAGAAAAAAAAAAAAAATAAAAGAGAGAAGAAAAAGAAGGAACACACACCATTACTCACGACCTTTGTATTATAGTTCTATATTTTAATTTTATTATATTCGAGATATATAATGTACATAACAAAAAAAAAGCTAATATATTTTGTTAGAGAAGCGAAAACGGAATCGTGTTTTACGTGTGAGTGAGAGAGAAATGGAACGAATGAAATAGCGCGAATAAAAAAAAAGGAAAAAAATAACAATAAATGTGTCGAATGTGCGCGCGCGCGTGTGTGTGTTCAACGAAACGATCTTTTTAATTATACATTTTAACGTGAACGCGTAATGCTAAGAGATTGCGGCGAGATACATATTATAATATACGATATATATTTCGTTGACGTTACCCGGGACTCGGTCCAACCGAGTCCCTCTACAATTGAGTTACCGTAAAATCGCGTGAAGCGGGCTTCATTCATGTCTTTATTTTTTTTTTCTTCTTTTTTCTCTCTCTCTTCTTTTTCTTCTTCGTCCTTCGTTCGTAGATTCAATCGCGTGCGAGAGAACGACGATATTTGTTTAATTACCTTTATCATACGTACTTGTGCGACAAGTTTTTAATAACTTTCTTCTATTATTTCTATTCCCTTTTCTTTTTTCTTCTAAGACGTTTATTATCGGGTCTCTCGGTGATGCACAAAACTGAAATCAACGTGTGCACGCGTACATCACCCACGCATGTCCCGCACACGAGCGTGCACGTGCATGCGCGATGTGCACGCGTTCCTCGGCGTATGACTGATGTATGTTAGGTACGAGATTACCTGTCCACGGTTGTCTTCTTGTCTATGCACAAATATATTTTGATATAAAAAGAAAAAAAGAAAGAAAGAAACTATGGCATTAACCTTTGTTCACACCTTCCTGGTTTATCAGAAGTTCTTTTTTTAAACTGCGCTTGATTTAGAGCCCCGATGAGGTGTCTTTTAGAGAATTTCTTTATCTTCAGACGACGATAAAATTTAACTCGAATTAATACGTAACCACCTCTGCGCCGGCTCGTAATTGCTTCTATATTTACACACGCTACTCGTGTTTACGTAGACTCGTGGGTTACACAATATTAGTTTACTAGCACTTGCTACGAGCGGGGTTCTAGACGCGGAAACCGGAAGAAACGAAAAAAATTGAGGATCCGTTGGGAGGAGCAGAATTTTTATCTACTCGTTCTCTAAATTTCATATTTTAATCCTTGCATTTACAAAAAGGGAGGATTTTTCATTTAATAATATCCTATCAGTTACCATAAGTGTAACAAAATTATTCACCTGCGTAATACGCAGTTTTCAAAGGCGTAAATCTGCTTTGACGTAAAAGAGAGCAACAATAAAACTGTCATCTATTAATCCAGCAGTAAAAATCGAGCCCGTCCCGCGTAAACGTGCGAGCGGAAAGCGATCGAGACCCGTTCGCCGCGCGAATCCGACGTCGAATGAGTCACGAGATAAGTTTGTTGTTAGTCAGATAAATAGATTAACACCATTGTGACGATCGCGGCGTTTCTTCTGCACTCTTGCGGAACAGGATACCAACGTTCTACGTGTTCCATGATTTTCGTCGTGCGCACGTGCGCAAACAACCGTCACGCGCAAAAGCCCGGAAAGGAACGTTCGTTCTCGTTTTTCGAACGATCGATACAGTCACAGGGGATTCTGAATAAAATTGCACTTTGAAACCTGACAACAGATAGAATCAATTTTTCTATCAGAAAATAAAATAAACACGCGGAGTAGCTGAACTGTCGTCGTTTCTGACATAATCTCAATAATCTGAACGAAACGAGAAATGAAGAAGATAACGAAGAAACGCGACGGTCATTGATAATCGCGGATAATACCTTAGGTATATCACGTGGAACCAGCTCGTACAACGAGTTTTTTTTTTTTAATCAAATTGATTTGGAGAGAAACAGAGGTTGTTGGATAAAACGGCGCTACCCACGTGGCACGGGAGCTCGCAACAGGTTTTCCACGAACGATGCTAGGACGCAGCCGCGTTTCGATTTCCCTCGAACCGCGACGTTCCTCGTGGATTTCCCGGTGAATTGTAAATGAATTTCATTTCTACGCGACGAGTGATTGATAACCGTCGATTATCCGCGCTCGAAATAATCTTGAATTAGCAATTCAACAGGACAAACGGCGACACAACATCGAACGAGCGCGTTAATGCTTTACAAATGCAAATACCTTCGTTCAAGATCGGCTACCGTTTCATCTTCGGTCGAATTTCGAAAGCCACTGGTGGCGTTTTTGAAAAGTTCCCCCGGGGCACGAAAATATTTTGCGAAACGATCTTATCGGACAAGAGAAAGCGAACGTTCATAGACACTGTATTTGACTTCGATAAATCATCGACGATCAAATTCTAGCTGTTTCTCGGGAAATTTCGGACCAGGATGAAGTTAATCAAAGTTAAGATTTATTTGGCATTTTCATATGATCGAACGATAAGAGGATAACGTAATTAATTGTTACGTTACATCAACTTGTTCCGGAGTCGAAGAACGCACTGGCTTGCGAATCTATTTAACATATTGAAATTTTATTGATCTGTCTGTTACGGTAGAAAAAAGTGACGAGTGGTCAGACGTAGGATAACGTAAATTATTAATGACCTTAGAGATCACGTTGACGAGTAAAAAATAATCTAAACCTCGAATTTTCCGAAAGAAATTTTCCATCTCGACGATGAATAAAAGATAGAATAATCGAGTACTAATTTCAGAAATGATGGATTCTAATGAGTCTTCAGTGTCTCGGCTGGTTTCGTGTCGCTCGGGCTGCGTTAACACACCTGTCGCGGGCTAATCGATACTTTAATTACGTTAAAAGTTACATAATCGCGAAGTTGATGTAACGAGATAAGGCTATCGTCAGGATCATCGGATGCGTTTTTGCGCGGCGTCGAACCGGTCGATTTTTCGGTCGAACCCAGGAAATGAGAAAAACGAAAAACGTACAGGTTTCCGTTTACGAATGGAAGGGACGACGAGTGGCGGGCTTGCAGCTGGTTAGAAACTATGACATAATGCAGCAAGTTTTGACGCCGGGATGTCTACGTGCACATGTCGCGGTCGTGGCTAGTTTTAGACGCGAGCACTGCCAACAAAACAAGCACCTCCGAACCGTGGATTTCGGGAGATCCGTAGGAAACAAAGGGGAACGAAACACTGCCAATTCAAAGCATCTTCGATTCGGTTAATTATTCGTGGAACTGTGAAACGTATACAAAATGTATACGAATTCCCATTTCAATTGTCATATACATTTGTTACACTTTGGTGAGAAATATATGTACTTGATGAATTTTATATTATAAAGAGTTTGTCGTTCAATCAGCCCTGTTTAGAAAAGAGATATTGTACTCTGTGTCGTTTAGTTGTTTTCCTTCGCTCAAAGTCTTCAGCTTTTGACAATGTCGTCGTTATTAACGACACAACTGGCCACGGTATTATTATCCACCCTCCTATTATTCGTTCGCTCTCTATTCTGGCTACAACGGTATATGGGTTAGGGCCAGCTCTACCACCAACACCGTTTTCTCACCCACGCACCCGCTCCTTTTCCCTCCTTCGAAGAGGAACGCATACGAGAGAGCGTATCAGAGCGGCCAAACGCGTTCCGTGGACGCTTTTAAGCTGATCAGGCGACTGCCAATTAACGAAGACGAGAGACGTTAATGATTAACCCGATGGTAATCATAGACTTACCTGTGACACTTTTGATAAGAGTATTAATTTTAATAATTATTCGGGATCGTTAATTTGCATTTGGATTTTAATCTTACCTGATATCCCGGTAACAAGAAGGAACATCTCGCTGGAAACCTATAGAAATGAAATTAAAATGGTTCAATTGCTATTTTCAATATAATTTATTAGACATTCCAACTGTTTCGTACAGCCGTGATTTTTCAAGGGAACGTCATTGATCAATATAATCTACCTTTTAAAAACCATCACCGATGTTAAATTTTATCTCGTCGTAGTTCAATGTCTTATCGTAAGCTGGTCCGCTGATGCATCGCGACGACTGACGCGTCTGCATGAATTCGACCCCAGGACAGGCGAATAGGTCGTTCTGCCAATGCCAGAAGAATCCACGTACGAAAAAGTTCTCCGTCTTCTTGCGGGTCCCCACGTTCGCGGCACGTTCGGTCGAAGTGAAAAGTATCTGGCCCAGAGTTAAAAGGGGAGACTCGTAGATCGGCATCGCGGTTCACTGCTGCGAGCACGATGTGGGTGTGACCTGGTTTCCGAGAGTTTCACTTTCCTGTAACATCGTTGCACGGAGGAGGTAAGGAGGATTCGACCCCAGAGAGTTACGTCATGCATTGTTATGCCGGCCGTAACGGGTCGTAGACGTACGTGCGGAACTCCGTAGGAATTAAAATAAGCAACCCGACTATTTTGCCCGCGTATATGAGAAACTTCTCTATTCCGTTCGATTAAGAATCGCGAGAATGTTTCTGAATCATTTCTGCTCGCGTTTCGTCGTTTAGTCATGGAACGCCGAAAGCCGGATATCAAAGCGTAAAATATTCAGATCGGCATCGGGTTGAAAGAGATATTGAAAGGAAAAATTTGAAAATTAAATTGCTGTTAATATTAACGAATTCGTAAAGGCGTGCGACGCTTAATGCATACGCGCGTGCGCCCACCTTCGCCACGATCCGATGTTCGAGCGTGTGGCGGCATATATAAAAGAGCGTTCTAGCGTGCGACCTATATTCCACGCCTGCATTGCTATATTAGACGCGCGCGACGCATCAGGGACGCGCCTCAAAGCGCACACTTATTCCCCTCCTCACCTGATGCCAATCAAACGCGAATTCACTGAATAATTCGATTCGAGCCTATTGTGTTACCCTGTCGAACGGCGACGGGATAAATTACTATGTATGTAGTTCGTGGCGCCACGTACGCGTCTAATGATTTTCTAACGCACTGATGAATCGCGGAGAAATTCAGATGAGAATGATGCACAATTCTTGAGTGCATCGTTGCATTGGCAAAAATGTATTATTGGACGGCGGACCATGGAGAGAGCCCGAATTTAAATTTAATTTTGTATTTCATATTATTCTAATTTTCTAAATAATTATTCTTTCAATATATAAAACCTCTTAAAAGTTACGTATTTAACTTTAGATTATGATCTCTAAGTATCTCTTTAAAAGCTGTTAGAAACTTTGTTTTCAATAAACTAACGTTAAGTAGGTAGCCTGAATAAACAACGGGTGGATTGAATT